TTTATATCTTTTTATATATTTATATATATAAATAAATATTTATATTTATGTGTATGTATAGGTTAAAAAATCTGATTTTTGAAATGTGAAAGTTGTTTTGTTATTTTTGAAATAGGGTAAAGATAAAGTAGGAGAAATGAATTTTTCCCATTAGGAAATTACCTAAATCTAGTTCCTCAAAACAAATAAGGATGCCAACAAACAAGCCCCAGCAGGGAATGTCCGGCCCAAGCCCGTCCATTCTAGGCATGGAGCATGTATCTAGATTCAGATAAAGTTCTACAAAGATGCTCCTCCAAAAGCATATGCACATGGCCAAACCCTGCCGAATGAAAATAGTTGACAGGCTGTGTGCCATATGGAGCTAATCAACTAGATGTGATGGATGCAAAATATTATTTACAAAATAGAATTAGAAGTAACTTCAGAAAGAAAAAGTATTGTTTCCACTAAACTGTTTCGAGACAAACCTACAACCAGAACTTTTTATTCCCAGGACAGGATTTCACAAGATCATCTAAAACGCATCAGTTGAAGGATGAAATCTCTCTGCATTATGTAAAAAATGATGGTCCCCTATATTTTCTAATTTGTGATAGAGTCACTACAAGGCGGGTTCCAATATTATCGTAATGAAAATCAATGCATATATTCCCTACTTAACAGAGTCAACTAGTATTAAAGAAGTAGATCTACAAGCATTTTTAAAGCTATACTGACCTCATGAAAAACATCTCAAATAATGCTGCCCACAAATTTCCCATGAGTTCGACCAAGTTTAAACAAAATAAAAAATAGATCAGCTTCATCCTGCAGTATTAGGAGATGAGAAATTAAACAAGAATGGTAAAATAAGTACGACTATTATGGGATATCCATACTTATGAAGCACAAATCCAAATATCGATGGTGCAACACTTTAACAAAAGAGCTCAGAAGCTTAGGTTTTTCTTTTTTTTTTTTTCCAAAGGTTCCTCGTCAACATATGAAGCAAAGAAATTGTCCAAATGCAAAAATATAGATACATATACTTCCATTGATAATCAAAGAAAGAACCAAGATTCAGAAGTAACACACCTGTGGATAAAATTCCAAATTCTTCATTAGGGCATTTAGGCCTAACCTAAACGTGGCCAGATTCTGCAACTTCATTGATTGGAGAGCATTCCTTGCAGCAGATCTGATGGAGTCATTCCTGTCAAGCAGAGTGCCAAGGAACTGCAAAATACACAACTTTAAGTGACCACCTGTGGAGCTAAATCTTGCAAGGTTCACCTATTCATGCTTCAAATATAAATCTAATCAATGCTTCCCGAAAAAAATAGTTAGTGTTACCTGGAACAAAGAATAAAAACTAGAAACAGAAGTTCGCCAAATAATCAGGTGGATCAGAATATGAATCCAAAACTGATTCTAAAAAATAAAAAAAAAATAGGTCCTCTGATATGAACTTTTGTGCATGCAGAGAAAATTTACTTCGAAATTTTCTAAAATCGAGTCGAGTAAGTTTGACTACATTAGTTTCTACATTTGACCAAGATGCTAAACCACTATTCTTGGAAACCGAAGTAAGTGAATTTGTAGCGACCAAGAATTTTAAATTTTATAAAATTATTTCTCTCGAAAAACGTGTCGCTAAATTTTAAACCCTAACGTTAAAGTGAAAGCGTGTTCGTCTAACCATTATAAAACAAATTTAAATTTATTTCAAATCGAGTCCAATCCCGAATATTTTAAATATATCCAATTCCTT